CTTTCAGGTCTTCGCGGCGGGAGGAGCGCGGCTTTGCACTGTGATCTCACGAGGTGGCGAGCGGGTAGCAGGCGGTCTTCGGAGCTGCACGGAGTCCCTGGTTGTCGCCAGACCCGTCGTCCAACTTTTTAAAAGCCGCATCCTTCGGTTGGCCTCCAGTCCCCTCCCCACGCCGAGCTTCCCCACTTTGAAAAGTGGCCCTCGCGCTACCCCTGCAGTCTGCAGCCGCCCAGGATGAGCGCTCCGCTCACGGACCCAGCACCTGAGGACTTCACTCCGCCCCTGCCTCCTCCTGCTCTGCGGTCCTGACGCCACACACACCCCTCCCAGGTTTTGGGGGTCCAGGTCTCCTTCGCAGCCGCTTGGCTCTACACTTGCCGTTGCCTTTTTGCATCGCTTCCCCAGCCCCTTCTTGGTGGCCCTTTCCTCCGGCCCCTCCAGTGGGTTTCTGAAGTCCCTGTCCTTACCACTTCTAGGTCTTGTTCTTCTCCCACTGCTCTTCTGGTGCTGTGGGTTGTACCCAGGCAAGAGCTCCACCACTGAGCTACATCCTTGTTCTTCGTCCTTCTGAGACAGAGTCGCTGAATTGCCCAGGCTGCTCCTTCTGCCGCTGTCGCCCAAACAGTTCACGGGCTTGGCCACATCGTCTATCTTCATCTCATCCTTAGACTACCCTTGAGCTCCAGACCCACATTTGTTTTTTGTTTGGTTTTTTGTGACAGAGTCTCACTGTGTAGTTGAGATTGACCCGGAACCCATTAGGTAGCCCAGGGTGGTCTCGAACTCACAGCGATCCTCCTGCCTCAGCCTCCCAAGTGCTGGGATTGCAGGCGTGCGCCACTGTGCCCGGCTTCCAGACCCACATTTAAATAGCCAGAGGACGATTCTTGGCATCTCATATTGAACACATCCTGATTTGTGCATAGCTTTTTCTCCCTGAAATGTATTTTTTTTTCCCTCTACTTGGTCAGCAGCTGACCCTACTACCTACACTGGCCAGTAAGTAGAGAGCGTGTGTTCTCCGTTCCCTCTACACCCTCCATCAGTCCTGGGACACATGGAGTATATATGAGAAGTCTAACCAGATTTCTACCAAGCTTCTGGTTCCACCTTTCCCCAACAAAGGAGGTGGCAGGCACATTCTCCTGTTAGGAGGTCTGGGAGAAAGATGGAGGGACAGGATCTGTTCTGTGCATCTGGCCTTGGGTGCAGCCAGAGACTCAGATACACCTGGGCTCCAGTCCCCACCCTGCTCCCCGTGGGACTTACAAAACAAACATTTACTTTTGGGGGGTGGTTTGAGACAGGGCCTCACTATGTCGTTGGGACTGACCTGGAACTCACTGTGTAGCCTGGGCTGGTCTCGAACTCACAGCGATCCTCCTGCCTCAGGCTCCTGAGTGGGATTCCAGGTGTGCGCCACCATCCCGCCAAACATTTACTTTAAAATACATATGATATGCCCTTTCTCAAACAGGACAAGTACCTCTGAGGGGCAATTAGACCACAGATTATCCCCACTGTGTTATGCACATAACCATGGTTCACACTTTATACATTTATTTATATTTTAAAAAAACATACTGGGCCCTCCTCTGGGCCAGGTTCACCCAAGAGAAATTTAAAACAAACAGAAAAACAAGACAAACCATAAGAATTCCACATGGCCTCTGCCCCCGAGTCAGTGGAGGAACATTTGATGCCAAGGAGTCCAGAGTAGATAGGTGGACCTTAGGTGGCCCGGGGACCAAGGAGCCCAAAGGGGCTAGGACTATACAGAGGCGCAGGTGCCATCGACTGCCCACCCACACCGCCGCCATGAGTGCCAGGGCTAGTACCACAGGGTAGGATTGAAGCCAGTGCTCAGGGGTGAACAATACATCTAAAAGATCATCTGAAGACCTGAGCTTCCTCTGAAGAAGTCAGTCTTGGAGAAACTCACTCACTGGGCAGATTGTCAGGTCCTGATGGTAAAGATGGCCCTGCAAGCACACCTAGAATCAGGCTCCTTAAAGTTCTGCCCCCGGCCCCAATTCCAGCCGAAAGTTATGCCAGACGCCTCCCAGGCCCTCTGCCGGCTCAGGACACACATTCAGTGTGTAGAGCACAGGCTGGCGTGTTGGGTAAGCTCCGCGGGAGCCCCATGGCGGCTGATGCGTGGGTGAGGCTGCCTTTTGGAAGCCTCCACGTGGGCCAGCATTCTCTCCTGAGACTACCCCTCTTTCAAGCCTTCAGGGAAAGCTCAGTCCAGGTATGGGAAGCCCGTCCATACAGAGCAGTGGGCCTCTGTTTCTCCACAAAGCCCCGGAATCCCTAGTTTACCTAGGATGCCCGTGGGGAAAGATCTACAAACCACAGCCTTTCTGAATCTGGAGGCTCTGCCTTTGCTTGTCCTGTCGTGACTGGCTGGGCAACTTAGGGAATGAGCCCAGGGATCCACTTGAACCTGTGATGGAGGGAGGGCCCAGTCCAGCGTTGCACCCAAGCCTAACTGGTCCAAGCACTTACCCTCTGGGCAGCTCAGCTTTTCACGGCAAGGAAGTAGAATAAGGCAGCAGGGTTCTTCCCCAAGCACTGTGGACGGCGGGCAGGACCCGACCGATGCCCTTTCATCATTGCACTGCTTCCCAGTGGCCCACAGTAGTGCAACAGGGAAAGAGTGTCGGGCAGGCCTGCTAGCGCCTCTCAGTGTGCTGCTAATGGTGGTGGTCGTGGTGGGTGGGATCAGGGGAGACCTGGAATGCAGGCCCGCCGGGGGAGGGCCGCAGCATGGGGGAGGGGTGCCCTCTGACCTCAGAGGCCCGGTGCTAGCTGGAATCTCAAGTTTCCATGGAGAAGGGAGTGAACTGGGCAGGGGGAGGGGGAGGGGAAGGGCCTGCAACCCTGGAACGAGGAAGGAAAGCTCGTGGGTGAGGGGCGTCCCCAAGGCTGGCCCCAGATGCTTTGACAATATCATTGCACTGCTTCTCAGAGCACAGTAGTGCAACCTCGTCAGAGCACCCGCAACCAACAGAGGTGGGGGTGAAGGGTGCCCCCCCCCCGTACTGGCAGGGCGGGAAGCGCAACCGGCGGGTGGGTGGGGCCAGAGCCTCAGTTCACCTCGGAGCAGGAGAAGGGGATCCCTGCGGGGCTGCGGTCCTGGGGGGATTCAGGACCTCAGGGCATCCAAGCCTTCCGCTGTGCGAGCTTCAGGTTGTGCAGGAGAGAGATTCCAGCTCAGGAGCGAAAGCTGACTGGTCAAACGTGGGAGGGGGCGCGCACACAAAGGAGAGGGCCCGCGCTCAGCGCAGTCCGAAGCTGGCGCACACTCGGAGCTCCGGGGGCACAGCCCGAGGACCCTGCGCCCTGACTCGGCCTGCTTCCCTGGGAGAAGGGTGGCCCCACCCCGGGACGATGCGCCCCTTGCAGCTCAGGACCCCATCCCTGGTCCCTGACACTTAGCATGCCCCCCACCCCCCGTCCTGGCGGATTCTTCTGCCCGGGCCCAGAGCTGAGCAGAAGAAAGGGGGCTTCCCGCCCTTCTGGAGTACCCTGCCCAGAGAGGACGCTCGGGTCCTCCTAAGCCCCTCCGCGATCCTGGGACTGTCTGCCGGTGCCCCCCACCCCCGCCCCAGGCCCAGCTACTCACGAAGATAGTCACTTCTCGCCCCAGGGCGAGGGCAAGACGCAGGTGGGCGGGAGGGTCCCTGCCTCTGCGACCCAGCACCTCGTGGCGCCCTCCTGGCCGCCGGCTCCATCTTAACCCGCTGACAGTCGGAGGGCAGAGCCCCTGATCCTCAGCACAGCACTGCGCTCATTGGCAGGCGCGGGTTGGGTCTTCGCCTCTCGCGAGTCTATTGGCTGCTCCCGGAGCGATTTCAAAAGAGCCTCCAGGCTCCGATTGGCCCGGCGCCGCCCGAGTCTCGGGCTCCGCGGTTTTAACAATGAGTTCTACAAACACTTTCTCCCCATTCATAACTTATCAAAAGGAACTTTGCCCGCCTTTTCTTAGCTCTGGTCTCTGAAAGTTTTCTAGCGGTACCGGCGAGAGCGCTGGGAAGGCCAGCGGGAGGTGTCTGCCGGGCGATTGAGCCCGTCCGAGAGGGGTCTGCGACTCCTGGGAAGAAACACTGGAGCCTCCTGCCGAGCCTGCCCATTGAATGGGGTCTCAGGTTCCTTTCTTTGTACTGTGTGCCGCGATTGCTCTCAGCGGCTCCCGGATGTAATATTCATTCGGACACGGCGGCCGGCACCGAGAGGAGTAGCACCCCTTTCTGTCCAACCTAACGCACCTACCCTAAAGGGCCTACCCTAAAGACTCCCAGGGAGGTCTGCTATGGGGCCCAGGTACTGAGGCCCCTGTGGCCTTGTGCATCTGTAGGAGGTACGGGGAAGGGGAAGGGATGCTTGGGTCCTTGCGTGATTGCAACCCACCTCGTGGATGAGCATTCAGTAGGTGCCTGTCCTGGGCAGCCCGACAGGTAGTGTATTTGTCAGCTCACCTTCGCATGGCTCCGGTGAGATGTGTGTTGGGTGACACTTAGGTCGCTGAACGTCGGTGGCCTCTTCTATTTAGTTTTTAATTTTATTTTATTTGGTGCAGGGGATGGAACTCGGGACTTTGCACTTGCGAGGCAGGCAGTGGCACCACTGAGCTAAATCCAGCCCTATTTTATTCTCAGTCCAAGCGCTGAGAGAAATGTTTTTGAGGTAGGCAGAGTTGGTTGAGGTTTATGAACCTTGTGTTCTCTGAAAAATTGAGATGATAATCAAACATACTTCAGAGTTGTCGCCAGGAGCGAGTGAGATACTGTGTAAGTCACCCGATGCTCAGCGCATAGTGTTCAATGAATGAGAGATTTGCTACTGCTCAGATTTTAATTTTTTTATTTTTTGGTACAGGGATGGAACTCAGGACCTTGCACTTGCAAGGAAGGCGGTGGAACCAGAGCTAAATCCCTGGCCCCAGATTTTTATTTTTGATCTTGTCCAGCATGTCTGCTCCCACTGATACCCCATGGGTTCCTACCTGGTGTGTACCATTAGCATGCCTCACCTCACTGATTTCCATGTATGCACACACGAGTGTGTGTCCAAATCAGAGGATCTGCAGGCCTTGTCCACTGTTAGGGGTCTCCACACCCCTTCTGGAGGCCTTATTCTGGCTGCTAGAGCCCCTGACCCAACAGTGCACGCATGCGCATGCGGTGTGTGCGAAGTGCTATGATAACTGCCCCCACCTACCCAGCAGCTGTCCGCGAATGAGGAAAGACACTTCAGTCCCTTCCAGGTGGGACAGCATTGTTTTTTGGGAAAGTTTCTCACGATGTACCCCAGGCTGGGCTAGAACACTGAGTGCAGTCATTCCAGGATGTGCCACGTGCCTGACCAGTGGGATGACTCTGAGATCCCCAAAGGACTGAACGCTGGTTGCCCACAGGGCTGCTTTGCTCCACGGAGGGCCCCTTACTTGCTACTTTCCCTTCTCCTCTCACAGCCCCACTGCTTTGCTCCTGAGTTTCCTGGGATCACAGCCCAACAATCTCCTCCTACTCAAATCCTTCAAGGTCCAGAGAGTGATGGAAGAGGCATGTAGATTTGCAAATAATGCTCAAGGAATTTTAGAGTGCAGGGGTCAGGAAGGGTTCACAGGGGAGAGAAGGAGAGGAATGGACCCAGAACCTACACATAACGCCACTTTCCACAGTATTCAGTGGAGAGAGCTTTTCTCCATCCTTTGGTAAGGTCAATTGGTTTCCCAGATATAAAGTACTCTATTCATGTTACTCCAAGCCCCTCCAGCCTCTCCTTTGGGCTCTTTTCTGTTCTTTGTCAGGGAAGCAGCACCCTCTTACCCCAGCAGCTTCCTTAAGCACCCTACTGTTCCATGTAGCTCCACTTTAGCCAGTTAGGAAGCCTGTCTCCTCCGCCATCACCTCTACAGGCCACCCCTATACCAGCACAGCGCTTCTCTTGCTCTCCTATTTTACTGCTCCTGTCTTTAAACAGCAGTGCTCTACCCAAATTGTGCCTCCTCTTCCAGGAAGCATCCTCAGATCTTTCTGAGTAACCATTCTTTGTAGTTATCTTCTCTTGAGGTATCTTTTGAGGTTTTGTTCTCTTTGGGTCCTTTGAAGGTCAGGGTGGGGGGACCGAGATGCCTGAGCAGGCCGGGGACGGTGGGTGGGACAGCACTTGTACCCAGGGTGAAGAAACCTGTGATACAGTTTCCCGCAGAATCCTCATCTGGTCCTCAGTCAAAGACAGGTGTCAAGACTGCAGCAACTGCCAGGAGAATGGGTCCTCACTACAACGGATGGGGGGCTGAAGAGCTTAAGTCCCATTCAGCTGGCAGGAGGGTGTGGAACTCCCGCTCATCCTGCCCTGGGGCCCAGACCCCTCAGTAGGAAAGTCCATTAAGTTCAAAGACTGGCACATTGAGGGTATTTGCCATCAGACTATCTCAGACAGCACAGCCGACACTGCTCAGGGCAGTGTCGGAATGCAGGGGAGAGCGCCAGCAAGGTCTTGCCAGGTTCAGCAGCCAAGTTGGAGACGGGAAGAGCTAGTAAACTGTGCCAGGGACGCCCGGCACCTCCTGGTCACCACCAGACTCAGAGCGAGTACAATCGCAGACCAACAGTCTTTAATCACAAAGGCACTCGAGGACCCCGAGGAACCCAAAGTCTCCACCAGGAGTGGCCCTAAAGACGCCCCACCCTGCCACTTCCCATTCACCCATCCACACACTCAGAGTTCATCGTGACCTGCCGCGGGCTCCATACCAGGCTTGATGAAGATGCCTTCCATGGCCTTCCAAGTATTATGCGTGTTGGCGCTGAGCATGCCATGCACCTCGTGCTGCCCACGGATGGGGCTCCCGTACTGCTCGCCGGTGACCGACAGGAACACAGACGTGCCCACGTGCTGGAAGCGCACAGAAGCCTCACGCTCCCAGAGCTGCCCAGAGCACCGCACCGTCCACAGGTCCAGGTCATCACCCTCACCGTCTTCCCCAAAAGCACTCACCTCCTACAGGTGTGGGTATGGGGCACAGTAGTCACCACAGAGAAGGCACGAGGCCCTGAGCCTAGCAATGGCACTTGCACCCAGTGCACTAGACTTCTAGTCCTTTCCTTGTACCGCCCTGACCTTCAGCTTCCTCAGCTACCACATGGGACACCCAGATCCCCCCGCAGGGCCCCATGCAGAACACAGAGCCTCAGACAATGCACACTGTGTTGGATCTCTGCATCTGTCCATCAGACTTTCCTACTCCAAAAGCTGTGTGGATCTCCCTCCTGGGCCCCTCTTGCTCCAAAAGAGGAGTTTCATCTGCCTCCCCGCTGGGCTGGGAGCTCCTGGGTGCAGTACTCTGCAGGTCACTTCTGTGTCCCCAAAGGGGCGGGTGCTCAGTAATCATTTTTGAATCGAAATTCCCTTTTTGCATAAGCTGGGGTTCAGAGACAGTAAGGAAAAGGAGTCTCGAACTAGAACCCAAGGTTCTGTCCCGGGTCTCCCACACGGAGGTCAGGAGCCCTCCCTGGGAGCCAGGGAAGAGACATACCTGGTTGTTGGACAGCGGCGACAGGAAGTGGTGGGTGTGCAGGTTCTTGCCGGTGAGCACGTGCGTGAGCCGCACCGCCTGCCCGCAGCGTACGGGGGACCCGCGCGGGCACCCGCCCTCTGGGCCACCGCGGATCCGCCAGTAGCTATTGGCGTCCCCCGACGCCTCCACACCGGTCACTGACTGTTGGCCGCTCCCTGAGGAATGACACCCCGCCCGACCGCCAGGTCCCTGTCAATCGCGTAACCCCGGGCTCCCGCGGCTCGTCCCCAGCCCTGCCGGACCTCTCGAGTCCCTCCGGTCGCCGTTCACGGTCCGCCCGCCCCGCGCCATATCTAGACGACCCCCTCAAGTCCCGGTCCTGACCTTTCACGGCCCCCAGCCCCACCGCCCCCGAGGGCCTCCTCGCCTCCGCCCCCTGGCGATCGCCCCGCGCAGGTTCCACGCACCTGACCCGTATTTGATGTCATGCGAGTGCAGCCGCACCCTGTGTTGCGTGTTAAGCAGCTTCAGCACCGACCCGCAGGTCACAGGCCCTACACCAGTCTTGGTGGCACTGCTGCCCGGTATCAAGAGCATCAACAGGAGCGCCAGCAGAACCGGCCCCGCCGCCTCACAGCGGCCCGCGCTCCGCATTGCCCCGCCAGGCTCCTGCAGCTCTGGAGGCCGGCCGCTTCCGTCCCCCAGCAGACCAATCCGGCCCTGACAGCGCCCTCCCACGGCAGCCAATCGCGAGCTCGCGCGGCGCTCGACCTGCACTACCATTGGGTTGACGTGAAGGGATCCGCCTCCAGCCCACCCTCGTAGTATGGGGGGGGTGGCTGGAGACACGAGGAGAGTTTTGATTGGTCCACGCTTCCATTGACTCACCAATAAACATTAAAGGTCCGGGGGGCGGTGGCACCTATGGGTGAAAGCGCTCCAGTCGGGCAGCGGCTAGGGTGAGCTTGCCGAGTTCGGTGGTCGCAGAGCCTCTCCTTCCCGGCTCAGGTCCTTACACCCTGCAGGTGTATCTACGGAAGTTCCTTGATCCTGCATCCCTGGGACCTAAATAATGTCTTTGCCCTCGGACCCCGGCAGGATCACTAGATTTTAGGGTCGCAAAGTGGCCCGTAACTCAGTGAGTTACGGAATCTCCTGGGCCTTCAGCCCCCGAACCCAGGGACTAATTTCCCCGTCATTTGGTTATAGTTCCCTCTGACACTGGGTCACCTCAGTCCTTGGACGCTGGAGTTTATGAAGTCTCTGGTCACTCAGTCATTTGAGTCCTTCCGCTGGAGTAGCTCATGGTTATTGGGTCATCGGGCAGCAGGGGGCAGCACGGAGCTGTGGAGTCTGAGGATAGATGGCAAGTTCTCATCCATCAGAAGGTCCCAAAGGTGTCTTAGGAAACCTCAGCCCAGCGAGACCAAAGCTGAGTGACTGGCATATGAAGTGGGTTTCCGTTTTGATGCCTTCGCAGACGGTTGTCATCTCAGACTTCAAAGGAGGAAAATGTATACCACTATTTACTTATTCGTTCATGGAACATTCTTACCTTAGTTAGCTCCAAGTCCTTGCTGGGCGTCATGGAGTAACTGGCTCTGGGCTGTATCATATGAGACTGAAGAAGCTTACACTTGGGACACCAGCACAGCGGGGGTTACCGTTCAGGATTGATTATGTCATCCAGAATTATGCATCCAGGAAATCCAAAAGAAAGCCCTTGTATAATAACAGCAACGTGTTAATTTAGGTGATACAATACTCAGTATGTCCCAATCCTGTTGAGGGGTTGTTTTTCACAGTGCTGAGAATCAAACCTGGGGCCTCAAGAATGGTAGGGAAATACTCTACCATTGAACTATATTCTTTGGCCCAAATTTGGTTTTTCATGTTTAATATCATTGATTATTTATGTAGTCCCATTAAGTTTGTTGGTACATTTTGTTTTGTTTTGTTTTGTTTTTTTTGAGACAGGGTCTCACTATGTAGTTCGGACTTAGCTGGAACTCACTATGTAGCCCAGGCTGGTCTCAAACTCACAGTGATCCTCCTGCCTCAGCCTCCCAAGTGCTGGGATTACAGGTGTGCGCCACCACGCCCGGCTAGTTTGTTGGCACATTTAAAGCAAGCAGTACAGTTACATTCACCATTGGGATCTTGTACCTTTACATGATACGTTTTGGTTCTTGTTTTTTCCCCATACTCCTGCCCTCCCTTCACCCCCTTCACCCTTCGATTGTTTATTTGCAGTACGGGGGATTGAACCCAGGGCCCTCACGCTGAGCTACATCCCAACCCTTGTTTACTTTGAGACAGGGTCTTGCTAAGTCACTAATTTTCCCAGGCTATCCTCCAACTTTTGATCCTCCTGTTTCAGCTTCCCAGAACTCTGGGATCACAGCCACCACTATCATGCCTGGCTTGCTTTTTGTTTTCTGAGGCAAGACCTTGCTGTTTTGCTCATATTGGAGTTGAACATTTAGGCTCAATGTCTCCTCCTGCCTCAGCCTCCTGAGTAGTGGGGACTATAGGTGCACAGCATCTCTCCCAGCTCATTTCCCTTTAAAAGCTCCCCCATGCCTCAGCCTCCTCAAAATGTGCTCATTGTGTACTGTGGCGTACAGACGTCCTTTGCGGTGCTCTGCTATTCCCAAATAAACATGATGCTTTGGAAAATCCCTGATTGTCATTGCAGTTGACAGTCAAGATCCCAGAACCAGAGTGGAGGGAGCCGTGTGGCTCTCCTTTGACTCTTGTGAAGCTTCATGGCTTCTCATTGCTCTTCCGCAGACCATATTCCCTGGCTCCCCACTGAGCATGTGCTCAGGACCAAGTATGATTTTTCTCCAGTAGCCTTCCCTTCCAGCCACAGCTTGTCTTCAGAATCACATTCTTTTTTTTTTTTTTGGAGAGAGAGGGTCTCACTATGTAGTTGAGACTGACCTGGAACTCACTGTGTAGCCCAGGCTGGTCTCGAATTCACAGCGATTCTCCTGCCTCAGCCTCCCAAGTGCTGGGATTACAGGTGTGCGCCAGAATCACATTCTTAAGAGAGTCTGGTCAGCTCATCTTAGGTCCAAGAACTGCTCAAGGTACAACCAGATGTGGAGGGGAGGAAGGGTAGTAACTAATCTCCAAATAAGGCCACATAGTACTCCTCGCATCTCATGACTGAGTTATAGCTGAGAGGCAGAGCACTTGCCTAGCATGTGTGAAGTCCTGGGTTAGGTCCCCAGCATCATCAAAGTGAAAACACCACCTACTCTTGTAATCAAAGAAGACTGACTCCATGTTCCCCTTCCCTGTCACTTGCTTTGACCAATAGAATGAAAAAAAAAAGTACAGGGATTTAGCTCAGTGGTGCTGACACCTGCCTCACAAGTGCAAGGTCCTGCGTTTGATCCACAGTACCCCCCAAAAAAATGGGGGCCTTCTGAGCACTGGCTGTAAGAGCTCCTAGGAGCCCAGTCACTGCACTGTTCTGGGTAAGGAAGTCCAGGTGGGGTTACTGCATAGTGAGAGGCTGTGTGGAGAGAAACAGGAGGGAGAGGGCACCTTAGCAACGTTCGGCTCCAGCCCACTCCCAGCTCAAAGTATTCACATAAGCCACTCTGGTCTGTACTGCTACCCAGCTAAGCCTCTCGCCGCAGTATAATGATAAGTGATCTCCTTTTAGAAAGCTGCTTAGAAAGAAAAAAAAAAAGAAAGAAAGAAAAGCCGCTTAGGGCTGGAATTTAGCTCAGTGATTCCACCGCCTGCCTCGAAAGCATAAGGTCCCGAGTTTGATCCCCAGAACCAAAAAACAAAAAACAAAAAACCACACACACACACACACACTCACACACACACAGCTACTTAGTCTTGGGGTATTTATACACAGCAAGAGATGGCTGAGGAGAGGTCTAAGGAAACAGGTCTTCAGTACAAGCTATCAGTGTTTCCGCGGGAGCTGTTCCCAGTCACTCTGAGGCAGGGGTGGGGCTGTGTTCTCCTCTTCCTTGATGCTATCACAGTGGGACCTGGGGAGAGGCGGGAATCACAGCAGGTGCTGTCTCCTAACACTTCTTCTCTCTCAGCTCTTTTCTACTAACAGGGTTCCTTGCCTTGGGATGGGTAGATGATGGCTGTTCTGTATCAGCCATATCCGTCTTCAGGAATCAGTGCGGATAACCAGAATCTCATTTCCTCCCAGCTGCAGCCTTCTGAGAAAGAACCAACCAGCCTGGCTTGGAATAGGGATGTGCCGATAGGGCTTATCAACTGTGGCCAAGTGGTGAGGCACGCAGATGCCACCAGGGATGGGGGGTAGGTGGAAGGCTTTTTTTTTTTTTTTTTTTTTTTTT